ATATATATATATATATATATATATATATATATATCAATAATCTTTTTTATAATGTGCTTTCAACACATTTAAAAGAATAATATCACAGTTAAGAATCAACTCTTAACATGTTGCTTGCCATATAATAAATTAAACATTGAAAAGGTGCCGAGGAGCAGTCGCAGTGTCCCAAACTCATGCCACAAGAGAAATTTGGCTTTGAAACATAACTGTCGGTGACCCACCAGTGGGGCACATGGCAGCCAACGTGTTAAGGTAAATTTAAAACCAGTTCTGTTTGAATTAAATGCCTGTTTGTCATTGATATTGACACTCAGTTGTTCTTTTGACCTGATAGCACAAGCCTGAGGTACGAAAAACAAGACCTTGAATTTTAAATTTTGAAAGTAGTTTGGCATACCCACAAAATCTGGTACATGGGAAAGTGCTTGGTAAGAAATTATCTTAGCAGCTAGCATAATGGCTTAGACACAAATCAGACATTGGTAAGTAACAAGAACATAAATAGAGGCTTAAGAAGAATTGAATACGAGGGAGCTGAACATCATGTTCTTCATTTATTGTGTGGTCTATCACCTGAAGTTGGTGCCAAACCTGAGGAGACTGCCATAATAAAACTGAATCACATTGGCTATGAGTCATGAACCAAGGAATGACCTTCAAAACATAACCGGTTAGAACAATTACAGGGGCAGGTGGCATAGTGTGAGGTTGGTATGAGGTCCAGAAGAACTTTAATCCATGCACCTCTGAAACATCCAGGAACATTTTAGATGGGCTAGGTATTAGGTCAGGTGGAACATCACTGATTGGATATCATTCTTCTTTACTTCCATCTTCATTATACTGACAAGGTGAACATTTTCTGTACAGCATGCTGCACAAGAAGATCTTGCATGGTATGAGCTGGAACTGGCATACAAGGAAGAATGGATATCCATGTCTTCTAGAACGGTACCTCAATGCACCTAGTTGGGCTTCACTCTCCAGTAGTGAAACCTTTGCTGGTAAGTTGGGCCAGATTTCAGTTTGGCTGATGACAATACCCATCCACACTGAGCAAGGATAATCACTCTTTATCATAAACAGGCAGCAAATGAGAGAATGTGAGATATCCTAACTTACACATCGTAGAGCATGTTGTAAGAGGGTGATAGACCATCCATTGCAATCCAGGGCTGAGTAAGAGCTTCTCTACTCACTTGTTTGCGAGTAAGCCCTACATCCCCAACAACATGTAAGGCATTTGATCAGATATGTACAGGCTTATTCAGAATAACATTGCATCTCATGGCAGATGTACACAGTACTGATCGTATGTAAACGTATGAGTGACTCGTTAATGTATTTATGTAACTACTTTTTGTTATGTATCATTTTACACAGGTTAAACTGTATATGAACCCAATCAACTGTTCAATAAATGGCACAGTACAAAACTGCTCCATGAGAAATCTTCATCTGTAGCAGCCAAGAAATTGTACATGTCATTTTTAAAGATGACCTTGGAACATCAAAACAGTTGTATCACTTGGGTATTACAAGGACAAAAAGTAATAATACACATAATAAAGACAAGAATAATAGTCTGAATAATTATAATAGACTCCAGTACATAAGGGAAGAATTATCAGTGCCAGTATAAAATGGGTAAGGTTAACTCTTACCTGCCATTCTGAAGCAACATATCAATAGGTACAGTAAGAGGTTTCTAATAAAGAGATTTCCAAAGGCCTAATGGATTTTGGGGCCTATGTGTCTACAAGTGTGGGATGATAGTTTCCCTTTTTTCTAGTGCGTGATAAACATGTCCCTGGGAAATTCACAGTTTGAGAATCGATTGTCATGCAGAGGAGGTACACTTGTATAACTGCAAATAAGAACAAGCATTCTTGGTAGTTTTAGGGGAATACTAACAGAATTAGCATCCTTGATAGTTTTAGGTGAATACTAACAAAAATCCAAAAGGAGATGTAGCTCAACTAACTAAGCCAAATCTTTGAAGTAGACTTAAACGAACGACCTTGCAGAAGAACCTATTTTACTAAGCCAAATCTCTGAAGTAGACTTAAACGAAGGACATTGCAGAAGAACCACTTGACTAAGCCAACTCTCTGAAATGGACTTAAACGAAAGACCTTGCAGAAGAACCAATTGACTAAGCCAAATCTTTGAAGTGGACTTAAACAAAAGACCTTGCAGAAGAACCACTTGAAGAAGCCAAATCTCTGAAATGGACTTAAACAAAAGGCCTTGCAAAAGAACCACTTGATGAAGCCAAATCTCTGAAATGGACTTAAATGAAAGACCTTGCAGAAGAACCACTTGACTAAGCCAAATCTCTGAAATGGACTTAAACAAAAGACCTTGCAGAAGAGCCACTTGATTAAGCCAAATCTTTGAAGTAGACTCAAACAAAAGACTTTGAAGAAAAACTTCTATACAAGAACTTCTGAAACAATGAACTTAGCAAATTAACAGCAGCAACACAAAGTTACCAAACCTCAGGCAGTTTTAACAAAATAAATAGAATATGATACAAGTTTCAATTACACTTTAATCAGGAAGTATACCTGAGAATCCAAACTTTCAGTTTGAATTAAGTGCAAACTCTTTGCAAATAGAATAATTTTCATAACTGAGTAGTAAGGACTTAACCATCATTGTTCATATTCTAAATGATTTCAATGAGACATGTTTATATGAGAAGGGGGGTTGTGGAGCATTTTAATTTATTCAAGGCTATAGAAACAAATATGAAAAGAGTATGTTGCACGATATATGAGAGGTAATACTGCATGTGAAAGCTTCATTAATTTAGGAAAAAGTTCCAATACAGCTATTTTTTAAAAATGAATACTTTATTATTATTATTTTAAAGTTTATACAATTAAAAATGTTTTTGCATTCATTCATACTTTTGAACAAAAAACAAATACCTTTTACATTGCTAACTTGCATTTGTGCATGTTTTCTCATTGATTCCAAAATCGAACAGTCTTTGGTATTTAGTGAACTATAATAGCAGCAGTAACAGAAAAAAAAATACAATCGTACAACTATAATAAAAATACTGATATACAAAGATAATGAACACACTTTGATCTTAATACTCTGAAATGCTAAAAAACAAGTACATCAATAGAATAAAATTTGTAAAAACTATCTTGATTTTACATTAGCCATTCTGAAGTATTATATACTATTAGTGCTCCTTGGTGGTGATTATGTAATTAATGTTAATGTAAAAATGATTTGAAACTGACAAATTAAATCTCTCTACATTTCAAGCAGTTATAATGAATTGTAGGAAATAGCAAGTTTAGCTTCATTTTATGATGTTTGCCATCACTCGCTGTGGTAACCCACAAGGTAGCATAAGTGAATTATCCACTGATACTATTATGATAAGAGCAGAGAAAAGTAGTTTGTCTTGTCAATTGGATTCTAAAGTAACTGAATTAGCCTAAGTGGACTTTTGACAAGAAAATAGAATTATTTAGAGTTTTAGATACAACTGTGATATCCATAGTTTAAAGAATTTTTGTACATACATTTGACTTGTTTTGAACATAAACAGGTGGAGTGCATGCTCTTCATTTATTGTCAAATTTATTGACAACAAGTATCAGTCACCTACTGTAGAAAAATCCAACCCCACTCATATTTAAAACCTTGACACTAACTTTTCCTAACATGATATCAATTAAACACTGTTGCCTCCCACATGCGTGACCATTCTGTTTACTATTTTATGACAAGATTTATTTAATCCAAAAGTTATATCCACACATGAAATTTCAAACTATGTTTGCATAAATAAAAACCTGATTAATATTAATGCAATCATGTTTATTCTATTTTTCTTTGGCACAGGCACAAATAATTTATGCTTATAAACTGGAAAAGCTAAGCACCTGAATATAGAGTCTAATAAACTAGAAGAGCTAAGCACCTGAAAATAGAAACTTAACTGGAAAAGCTAAGCACCTGAATATAGAAACTTATAAACTGGAAAAGCTAACCACCTGAAAATAAAAACTTATAAACTGGAAAAGCTAACCACCTGAAAATAAAAACTTATAAACTGGAAAAGCTAAGCACCTGAATATAGAAACTTATAAACTGGAAAAGCTAAGCACCTGAATATAGAAAC